AACACGTGACACGTTACCTGTAGACTGACCTCAAAACTTACACGTAATAATAACTAAACTTTGAACACTATGATATGTAACCTTAACTTTAACAAATATGATTTAAATATCAACTAATTTTATTTGTAAGTTGAAATCAGATTTCAATAAAGAATTTATAGGTCATATACATGTTACCCGACCTTAAAGTGTCCTATAGATATAACATTAGTTATAATATAGTTAGACTATAGTGTAATTTGACTGTATTTGACCACTACAAGAAAAAAAGGTAAAACATATTAAAATGACTAAAATAAATGTTGATGCTATTTTGACCAAATCATGATAATTTGATTTTAACTCTTTAACTATATTGAGAGAGTTGTATCTCTGATAATGATTTCTGTAACCTTAAGTTATTTTCAACCGGAATGAATAACTCCCGAATGGAAAGCTTATCAGTGAACATGCTTTAACAACTTTATATAATTAATGTCTTAACACATTGCTTAACCTAGCTGCATGGCGTGATATCAGAATATTGACTTTTAATTCCATTGAGCAATGTCGCATTTTTGTTCATGAAATCCTTTAACTATAAAAATGCCTTTGATAATTGATGTTTATTTTAACGTAATTTTAGGTAATCTTAAAGCTACATTGATCCATTAGATTTAGTTAATCGTTATAAATATTATTAAGATTTCCGGAAAGTGGAAGTGTATTTAAATGTGCCAATGCGTTAAATCTGCAATCATGTTATGAACTTCGGTGTCACGACAACATAAAATACCACAAAATATCCTCTCTTCTGATGTATTGTTATTTGTAAAATATTTTATCAAGGACATTGTTTCTATCGAAGAAGCACAAGCATTTTGGCGCAAATTCCTCATTGAATGATATTCATAGAATCTGTAAGTAGGTGGTTTTTTCTAAGAATACCTACCACCGGACAATGGGTTAGGAACATTTGCCAAATCTCCACGAAATGTCAACTAATTTTTATCACTTGTTTATTTCAGTAAAATAAGAAATTTTATCTAAATACTTTAATAATAACAACTGAAATTTGAAGAACATTTGTACGAAATCTGAACACTACCTTCATAAACGTCTGTTTTCAGTTTATAGTGTGACATTTCTCTGACACTTTGATGTCTATGACATATAACATCACGTGTCGTTAATCACGTGACATGTAAGCTATTACGTGAAGTGACAATCACACATACAATGAGTCTCTGGTCTCTACGCAGTCTGATGTATAGGCTTGGTTCTATGTTGTCATACATCTCGGATCATTAAAATATGTCTATTGGATGCGATATGTATACAAAAAATGTTGGAATGTTTTATTGAATCAAGAAAAAAAACGAGTTAAATAGTCTGCTACCTTGAAATCATAAGTTACATTCATTTACCTATGTACCAAACTTTAGAATTTTATAAAAAAAAATTTAATATTTCACATCAAATTAACTTCAGCAATTTCCTTCTTCCACCCTATATTTACAAATATTAGCAAGAGCTTGAAGTTGTCCCGACTGTTGTTTTATTAGTAAATAAAGGCAAAATTCAATAACTTAATATCTATATTAGGTTCGGTATTTATATTCATAGAAGATAACACAATTGCAAGCATCAATACATTGCTTTTGAAATAACGAAATTGAAGATAGACGATAATATAATTCCTTCGACAAAGTTTGGTTGTAAAACAAGCATTTCTTCAAGATGGCCATCGTTTATCATGGCGATCAATAGAAAAGGGTCAAATGGCAGTCCTAACGCCTCAATTTTTGTCAATGCTGATTTTGAATATTAGATATGAACAATTGATTCGTCTGTATTGGAAAAAAAGCCTTCGTCCATTGTAGAGTTAAAGATTGTTGTACTGTTAGACATTGTTAAGTACAAAAAAGATTTTTTTTTAATTACAAATGACGACGTGGATTGTACATTGCAGAGTAACTGTTTTAGACGTAAACATATAAGGGAAAGTTTGACATATTAAAGATAAAACTACATATATTATGTTTTTGACGGTTTCATCATCCATGATATCACTGAAAACTTACATTTAGATAAACATGCACAATACAGCAAAAACCATCATAATTTGATATCACTCGATTCAGTCATTACACAATGATTTGCGATGAAGACGATCACTTCACTCATCTTGATTTTCCTCTGAAGTTGGTTATGTGTATTTGAATTAAAGCAAATGGAGTCCAACATTGTAGATTAATCATGTGCAACCTCATTTAGAATCGGGTTCTGAGGTCTTAAATACAGGAATTTGATATATGGTCACTATTAACTTTTATTCTGACCTTTTCAGATAAATATTTACATGTAGTTTTTTAACAATAATATATAAAATGCCAATTTACATTTGACGTGTAAATTCATATGAAATTTATTTTATAGTAGAAACTTTTCAATTTATTGGACAACCTATAAGAACAAGACATGTGGTGTCAATGATACAACTATGGTGTTCTGACCCAGACTATCGTATTGACCTGTCAATGGATGTCAACAGAAATGACCATGTTGTGTTCTATTCGACAGGACCAGGTCGTCATATCAATACAGAATTGTCTTTTTGTCAATCATCTAACAGTATGTAAGGTGTGGACACAGACACACACTGTTAACTGGTGCCTGCAAGGGACAGATTGCATGCACCTCCTTCAAGACTCTTGGTATATATATAGGGTCCGGAGCACTTGTCTGGCATCAGTTCTCACTTGTTCATCTCTGAGGTTCTCAAGCTTACAGCTGCTCTAGCACCATGAAGACTTGTTTGGTCGTCCTTGTTCTGGCTTTGGCCTTGATCAGCTGCGTGTCTGCTCAAAATGGAATGCAGGGTTTAATGATGATGTCGATGTTTGATTCACCTGAATGTAAGTATATCATTCTTTCTAACATGGTGTTTGGTCGATAGTTCTACACTTTTTCTATTATCAGCAATACTTACCCGAACAACGAATTTACTTAGAAGAAATGCATACTAGATTCGTGGAAACACTGATATAAGTTTAAGTACGTACAATATAGATTTGAATTGTATATGTTATTCTAAGATTCCTCTGTGTACAATCTTCCGGAACACCTGGTCTTATTTTTGCTATACCTTTTTTGGGAGTTCCCGTGTAAACCTTTCACATTTTGTTCTATGAGTTTTGATCATGATTATAATGACAATTTTTAGCTATCCTCAATATTAAAACTTACTTTATATAAAAACTGTCCTTTAATGCCAGTTAATATTTTGATTTATCAACTCTCATGTTTCTGTATCATAATTTAAGTATAATATATGTATTTAACGATTTTAATTACATCATTTCATTGATTTCTTTATATCTCTTCGATTTGATAACATTGGGAAAATACGATAGCCACGAGTTCGGGTGTTTTCACTTCAATCTGCAGTGATGTACAATGTAAAAATATCACAGTGAAAGAAAAATGTCTGATTTTACTTTCGTTTTTTTCAAGTACACAGTTTTGTACTTGAATCCTGAATCACAGTTATAATAATAATAATACATGGATTTGCACTTTTCTTTATTCATTCGATCATGCGGATTTGAAAACATGTGCCTTCAACCTATAGACGATGTTCATAGCATAGTTATTCCTATATATGTTTGTCTATAAATAAGCTATTTTGTCGGTTTTAAAGAGACACAATTTTTTTTTACTTTACAGTCAGGACCTTGATGATGTGCCAGATGTGTATGAGGACTGCCACAGGAAATATGGTGACTTGCTCTATGATGGGAATGTGTGGAAACTAGTCACGAGACTTAAAGCTAGTACCGATGTTAGGACACCATGTCTTTCATAACTTTTATCTGGATATCACAACAGTTTGCAATAACAACTGTTTTGCCAATGTCACCAACAACAGCATTGCATCAACGTAGTTATTTCATACCAAGATGTGTGGACAACTATCTGATTCTGATGACGTTATACAAACTGTAATGAAGAGTGCAGACAGAAACATTACATTAGCGTCATTGAAATTAGTATTTCAAAATCATCAAACACTTTGTCATTATTATTTATTAAAGCATCGTACATTTTAAAATTTTGTGTTTGTTATGATTAATTAGTGTCACGTGACCATTTTCTTAATACTTACACTCGCTCATGATAGGTAACACGTTATGGAAGAAAATTTTGTCAAAGACCTCCGTATTGCCTATGAGCCCTCGCATGCAACAGTATTTAATTCCAGGGCACCAAATATTCATAGCATTTTAAAATGTGTATCATTGCGTTACAAACACGTTTAAACAGAGTATTTTATTAACTGCATAAAGATGATTTTTTGTTGGAAACTTTACAGTGAATTAAATTGACAGCTTGTTATCAAATATATACTAAAAGGAATACTGAGTAATGCCATGTTTGAATTAAGCTCTGTTTCAATCAGTTGATGTATGTGACCCATGTAAGTTATAGACCGTTAGAGGCAGGCCAATTTCATCATCTTTGTTGTTGGGAGGATCGGGAATGTTGCTATTTTTACAACGAATAGTTGTATTGTTTGAGGTAAACAAAATATCAAATTCGTTTTTAGTTACCAAATAATCTGTCAACCGATGTGACTTTCTTGTCATCAAAACTGAACTGAAATAAATATCTTCATGGGATGTTAAAAAAAGATCAATTGTAACCGCAGTTCTCCAGTTATAATGAGGTGTATTTGGTGATTTATTTACCTGTATCGGAAATAGCTTAAAAGACTTTGATACTGTAGTGTTTTTGTATTACTTTTGGCTTTGATAATATAAATGTACGAACTTTTGACATCATAAAATACAAAACGACTGACACAGATAGATAATAAAACAAGTCATTTTATTAAAGAACAATTATAGCGTGATATAACGCAGTAAACAGCACTGACAATATCTACCAAATCTTTTCAAACTACCCTCTCATAAGAAAAGGTCATTGTCTAATAGAGTCTTTTACATGATAACACTACATCAGTTGACGAATGAACACATTTCTATCATCATGCAGGTAACGAAGTTAGAATACTGCAAACATGTCTGGCACATCATGTACGGCAGCAACACTGAAATAAAACAATATAGAATTAAAAGTTGACGAACATGATATCGGAGGAATATGACGACGTGCCTCGAGTTCCACACAGAAAAATGTGATTAGATAATAATAACTACTATATAATTAGAAATCGTACAACGACATTTTTATGTGTATAAAGTTGGTGCTATATTTCAAAGTATGAAAAGGGTAAATACAAATAAATCATAAAAAAATCACTCAAAACAGAAAATGCAAGTATCTGGCCTTTCTGTAATATTCTTAGACTCCCAGACAAATAATTTGTATATCTTTATCGCGATTTTGTGTCACAAATTCAACTGACGCTTGACATACAGACAATTATAAAACAAAACGTTTGATAGGAATAACATACATTTGTTCACACATCTCCTGCCACTGTGTTGTAACATTATAAAATAACCATATACTCTACTTCAAAGAAATCACCAAGAGAATGTGGCATTATTAATTCTTAGACAATTAAGCTTTCTTATAATTAAATAAAACACTATCCAACAATGTTATTGCTTATTTTGTATTTTTGTCAGTCGTTTCAAGGTTTCAAAGTTTAGGCCTTGAACATCGCTGACGGGTCTAATGAGGACGAGACATCAGTACGATGAAGATCAATTCATTGTTTGGCACTATTGTATCTATATATTTAAAGGCACTATTTACTTGATCTTGTACAATGTTTTACATTGTAGAAAATGACATGATGATTGTAAATGAAGTTAAAAACTACCTTTTATCTTTCTCAACTATACGTTTGCAAAGTAGGAAATTCATTTTCTAAATCCTATAAATTCTGTTTATGACCAAAATAAAGAAATAAATGAATGAATAAATAAAAACATTACTGGAGAACAGAGAGACATATCTAATACTAACGCCAATGAATTAAAACTTACATTCTTGTTGTCTCAAATAGTTCATCATAAACAGTCGGCTACCCATATTACTTCCACTTCCAGGAGCCAAATTTGGCATCTGTTCTTTTCCATTTTCCTGTCCATTTCCCATACCAGGGACCATACTATTGCTAACCCTAGGGTCCATAGCTGAACCCATCAGTGCTCCCATACCGCGCGGCTGTGCCGACACAATACATGCTGCAGTAGCGAATATAACGAATAGTCTGATGGTATCCATACTGACCGGAATCTTTATGGGGACTAACATCCGACACTCCAGCTATTTATATATATACCCCTTGTATATCAGGGCGAGCAGGTGACAAAATAAATAAGGCCTTCACGCCGGACCCAAATAATCCATTATTTGTCGCTTTTGCACTGTCCTGTGACCGCGGATGACCAGGAGAGAGTACAATCTTTTACATCATAAATCACCAGGAGCTAGAAGTATGATGCGGTGTACCTACGTCAATTAATTTCAGTCTTTGTTGGTTTGAAGTCTTTTGTCAACTATAAACAAATACAACTTTTATGGTGCGGTTTCATGGACTATTAATGTTATTATATCGATGACACACTGTCCGGAATGTAGACATACTCATCAGAATTGGGGATGATAATAAAAGACTCACCAGTTTTCGAAATGTAGAGAGAAAACACGACTTGCCGAAAGAATAATAATCAATCTCTAAGCCATTGAATCTAGGGAATAATATGAACAAAAAAACAAAAACAAAAAGAGCCCTAAGCCTAAAAAGGAATGGAAAATAAGACCAGGTTTTCCGAAATAGTACTCGACTTCTGCTTCATCAACAACACCCGCCATATAAACAACTGAGAACCGTTAACGAACAACGTCATATTGCTCGAGACAACAGAATCTGTCCCAATGAAATCATTATGACGACCGTCAATGATAGGTAATACTGTAACGTAAGAGTCATTATTACCTACACTTTACATCCTTTTATTCTTCATCCTGCATATGTCTTTGGCGTCACTCTAACGATGCATCTTAACCAATTTCAGTATCTCAATGCCCAATATCTTCTGTCACTATAGACGACTGACAACCCAGCTCCTTAGAATATGTCAGCAGAAGCATGATCCACTGTTTGAGATATTTGTCTTGTTATCAAGAAGAGCAAATTTTGCACTGGTGAGAGAGACCCTCGACTTTATCCTTGTATAGGCAATTTTTACTTCTACTTTCTAAAGATGTCCATATTTGACAAAATATTTTTACCGAATAGTCCGATATCTGTTGTGTTGGTTTCGCTTATTACCCTATTGACTAAAGCACAAAAGTGATTGCCATGTTGGTATTTTCTTTGTGTGTTTTATTTGAAAGGGTCATTCATTATTCATTGATAAGATTATGTATACAACATTTTTCATTTACTACGCTTTACTTCTATCGTGCTACCTAGACCATTTAATGATGTATATCAAGCACAGATACGTATCTCTCCGTCATGGAAGAAACGGCAAATGTTCAACAATCAGCCATTCTTAAGGTCTAGAGAATGACAAATGAATGCAGCACGTTAGTTTGGTTGCATATTTTTCATAGGAAAAGCTCCAGTTCTGTTAGTTGTCTATCAAGTGTATATCCTTATTTGGTTGCGATACAGGTTGTTGACATTTCAGTATTTAATGTTTATGAAAGAACGTGACATTCTAACGATAGTGTGACGTCAAAACAGCCTGGTACTTCATGCTTTGTGGTGATGATGACGTGAGTCATCCATCCGTGAGAGAGGAGAAGCGAATGTGACGTTTTATAAGCAATATGACCTCATATTTTACCGGACTTGAAATCACGCTTCAGAAATCTGTTTCCAAGCCCCAATTCACCTCGTCTTATCCTATACATGGTTCTTCCATAATTTCAAAAAATGTTTATCTCACTCTTTTTTGTTAAGTGTCATCCTTCATAATGAAACACGGTTACCTATTGTGAATACATGGTAGAACACTGAGAATTTGGGAACAAAGGGTCTATTGCGAATGTAATGAAAACATCATGGTACCACGTATTGCGGTAGCAACATACACTTTATCACTGTGATCTACGTAGTTTACATTTCTTTATTTCATCTATAAAACTACATGTGATGTCCTGAGAACTAGCTTATGTGCTAAAGTATTGCTTATGCATGAATACAAAAACGTACGTGGAATAAAGTATTATTACAACATTAAGATTCACAGCTAATTATGCGACATTCAATGCGATACTTTTATAGAGCCAAAGAAAATTTTCTTTAAAAATGCTATCCCATTGAATAATATCACACAAGTTGTAACAAACAGATGTACATGCATGCTTATGGAATAGAAGTATTTTTGTATAAATGGACATTATTTTCACATAATTATTTTGTCGTCGTTTGAACGCGAAATGCAGCTTTCTGATTTGTCGATTTATCTTTTCATTTTTCGATGAAAAAAGGGCATCTAGCTCCGCCCACGTGATAATGACAGGAAGAGTCAATGACAACACACTACCCTACGGCGGATCTGTCGTAACTTCTTTTTATATGAATGAAATATCTGTTTACACATTCACATCATTTAATGACGTAAAAAACGGAATACAACATCATAAAATATTCAAATACCATACAATGTACAGAAACAATAAACAGCGAATACGTAATGAGTTTATCAGGGGGGAAATATATTATTTTATTTTATCATTATTTATCTATTTATTTACATATATTCGTTTGGAATGTGATGTGTCCACTTCTGAATGACTTTTAAATGACTGGAAATGACGCGAATTAGCTTTCAATGTCGTCATGTTATGCGTAGTGATTTGTTATAAAATAATCCTTTGTTTGATTATCAAATTTATACATTTATGTGTTATTTTTATTTTTGAAAGCTAGCTAAGAAAATTTTTGATAAGTTCTGGAAGGAATATTTTTAGTTTCATGTTGGTATAAAAGAAAACCCTTTTTCCCCATGCTTATCATGAATGCGCTACCAGTATGAAACTAAAACTTATTCCTATCAAAGCTTAATTATTGGAATGTAATGGAATCATCACAAATGTACGAAAAATCTATTTATTTACAGGAATGTCCTAGAATGATAAGTCTTGCTTGTCTCGCTTTCTTAGTAACATGCTAACAGCAAAGTACACTAAGATTTGCTCTTTTCAACCAAAATATGAGGAAATTCTAAGTTGATTTCAATGGATATCAGCACCAAAAATGTGTTGTTGTTATGAGTATATAGTAACATATTGTAAAATAAAAAGTGATTTCTTTAGCCAGAAAAATCACTTTTAATGAGGAAAGAGAGGAAGAACTTTCAATATGACTATAAATTAAATCTGAAGTGAATAGAAAACGCCACTAGACTTAAAAACTTCTCGTCATCACTCCTGCTTTTTAGAATAACCGAACGGTCTATTTTTAGATATGTTGTGGTGTTATTGTATCCATTATGTGATCTAGCTATATATCAAAATTGGATAACATTGATCTTCTGAAACTTTTGACATCTGAAATCACAAACCGTTTCTGGGGTTCTGCTAAAAAGGAGGTTTAAAATTTGATATCTGTAGGTTTATCCCCTCATTCTACATTACACATATGTATATTTAGATAAGCAAGCATTAGATAATTTTGCACATGATTTCAGAATACTGGGTTGGTTTGCTCAGGATCCATCGTGCCAGTAAAGTTTACCGCGCACTTGTTCCTGACGTTAATTCCCTGACGTTGAAAGTCTAATTATTTTGATTATTATGAATTTTGACGTCGTTAACACGCTGAATATGCAAATGAGAAATTTGAAAGTAGAGCATTGTGATTAAACTATCACAAATTCTTATTTTTTGACCAATCAAATGTACGATCTTCGAATTAAACAAGATATGCAACAGTCCTAAACTATCTTGGATTAGTAACTAGCATAAAAGAATTTAATTTGTCTGTTAATGTTTATTTCTTCATTGATATATCAGAAAGCACGATTACCAGTATTTTTAGATTTTAATTTTAAATATCGGAAGCTAAACATGAGACACCTTACACAGTCTATGTTCTTTGCTAATCTCAAAGGTTTTCCATAGAATTACAGTCCCTGTCCTTTACTGATTTTCACTCATTGAATTCTATATCACATAAGTGCACAAAATGATGAGACAACAGGCCACTTTACTGCTTAGCTTGTTACGCCTCATCATGAAGATGTACGTGATTGAATTGTCCGAAGAGCTCTGACCATCTATCCGAGGATTTTGTCCTGGTCACGGACCGATAGTCAGCATAAAAAGACTAAATACTAATAACAACTGCAAGGTTTGACATTCAGGCAACGTTTTATACAGTTCACAACAGTACGATAAATCATACATTGACGGAAAGATAAAAAACATTTCTCCACGAACTTGCCCGTGTCAAAACAATAAAATGTTGTAAACATATAAAGTATTTCAACTCATTTTCCTCGACAACTTTACTTTCGAATATATTTACAATAGCCGGCACTACGCAGAATCTTTCATAGACTTGTATATGTAAACCTATCAAAAAGTAAATTCTCGCGAGATTGGCGGGAATGGCAGATTTACGGTAACAACGAATTCTGACTATCGGTCCGCAACAAAGACAAAACTAAATCGCGACAGATAGTCAGAACCATTCGGACTGGTAATTGTAAAACATTGTTTAAATATACGTAACACAATGATATATATAGAATTCTAACATCCACTCCTCTATTCAGTATCATCATTCTTCTTTCTAAATTATACAACGTCAGTGACTGCGTCTGTGGTCAGAAGTGATCCATGTCCGTGACACTGACCTTTCTGTCTCTTACTCATTTACATACACAGAGAGCGACAACATTCGGCGAGAGCCGATCTGTACTTATGACTAGTGTGCCTTGCCTGTCAACTTCCGTACATTTGTATCTGATGGAGAAAAATTAACACGAATGAATGATTTCATTAGTCATAAATTAGCTGTTCATTTCAAGAATTTAATGGTATCATCTGGCGACTGATATTGAATGTTGAATTGCGCCAGTATGGCATCAATCCGAACCATACTTGATTATGATGTTTAACAAACACCACAGGCTTTGAAATCTATTCTTTATGTACATTTTTACACTTACATAACAAAGTTTTCTTTTCCTCAATGTTTGGTTCATTAAAAGTACACAATTTTAAGAAAATTGTGGCATTTAATTTCAGATTGTTTGACAATAATAAATTCGACAGAATAACCATGAGTCTTTTGTCATATCAAGTCCACGTGGATAATAACAAACGGTAGACCTCGACACATTTTACATAGATCTTGTCGACATTTTGGCACGGTTTCAACCATTCTGTACTCCTGTGTATTCACGACTTGTACAAATCTTCCTTGTTTGTTTATTTCTATCGTGGTTCACAACAAAATCAGAAAGATGAAATCAATTTAACCTTCTTACATATTAAAAAATTAGATTTATTCTGAGTAGTAATTGTTGTATTTCAAATGACGTATTATATATATACATATATATATCATATTTACTTTATAATCTAATAGAAATGAACTGTGTCGAGTTATTTTGTTCTCGTTGTTAAATGTGACCTGGTGTTTTAGGTTCTCTGAATGGTCACATATCTAAACATCTGTACTAACCTCTTTTGATTTTCCCATGTTGCCTGTTTGATTGTGACCTATGTACATTGATTTTCCTATGTTGAAGGTTTGATTGTGACATATTTTGATTTTTCTGGCTTGACTGTGTGATTTCTACAATAAACTGACGGTTCGTTGAAGGACAACATTGTTGTTAAACTGACTGACTTTTACTTTCTACCCATGCAACATTGATTGGTGTTACTCACTGGTGTCTTTTGTACAATTTTTTAGACTTTTGCCTTCCGTTTCTATATTTTCTGCTACATCGCGTTGGAATGAATAAACTAAGAGAATATCATATTATTTGTACAGAAAATGTATAGTTTCAAAATGTTGAATCGGTTAGGACATCTCATAACTATAAAGATACTACAGTATCAGCGCGGTGACAAAAAATAATTTTGTAATGTCATACATCTCATATCTATCTCTCAAAGGTCCGCAGATATTTATACCGATAATAATTATTAAATTATTGGAATGATGCACCTCCCTATCTCGATTTCGACCAATTTTGATTTTCCTATGTCGCTTCCTAAATTTCAACGATTTAGACCCATGGTATCGCCGACAAGTCCTTGAGGGACTACACGGCTGTATGTATGATGTGGGTTAGTTCATTGTTCGACCCTACCGAATTCAAATTCTAAATCTGTTTTGAAATATTCAATTCACTTTTATATCTTTTATACAATCTTCCTTTTGTACCAGTTGACAACAGCTTCAACACTTTGTTAAACCAAAAATATGTAATCTTCCTCCATACCCATCGCCACCATTGGGTGTTGAAGTTGCAACATAGGACGACTATTATAAACCATGGCAACGGCAGGAGGCGCCATGGTTACAGTATTCTTTTCTTCAAAAATACTTATTTTATTTTGTGTCATAATCAGGCCATCTCATTGTGATAGGAAAATAATTGGCCGTGATGAACCTCATCATTCCTTAAGAGCATAACTGTCTATCTGACTGCTACCTGGACGCAAACTTCTATTAAACCATACGAAGGACTATACAAGTGAAAAACAAGTGAATAGCGCCTTTCAAACAAATTTAAAATCACATCAGGTTGAGCAAAACAATGAATTAAACGACATCATACAGCAATGTCGTCCATCTTGGAATCGTTAGTGATGCTACATCACACAGCTGTTTCGTCCTTCTAGGACTCGTCAGTGATGCTACATCACACAGCTGTTTCGTCTTTGTAGGACTCGTTAGTGATGCTACATCACACAGCTGTTTCGTCTTTGTAGGACTCGTTAGTGATGCTACATCACACAGCTGTTTCGTCTTTGTAGGACTCGTTAGTGATGCTACATCACACATTGAAATGCAGGAACTTATTTGTTGTTAGGGAGAAGACGAATGGGTTTAAGTTATCAGTCAAGGGAGTACTCGATGTAATGTTTGTATCTAAATTGTGTGTGCTATTATTGTTTAAATATGTTTTTTGTGTATATAAGGATTTAACTTTCATTTTGTTTGATTTATGAGATCATAAATCCCAATGGAGCTATCTATGAGATTTACTGCTAGAACTGTGTTCTACTGGATTTATATTTCTCATACACTAAACAAAATCAAAGATTTACATTTGATGTCAATGATAACACACAAGACAGGATCATTGAATGTGTATCGTAAAAATTTAGCGAATGGAGAGTTTTGTATTTATGTAAAAACCACTCGGGACTAAATACTTATAAATTCGTCTATCACAATACTACACACGTTGATTTTATTTTGTTTGTTTTTACTTTATCTAACGGACACTTTCCTTTGGGAAATCATCATGAAGATCTTCTATCTAATCAAACGCGACACCAAAGGCGTCACTTCATCCCATGTATCTTACACATACATAGTAAGGGAGGCAACCCGACCGTCTAGTAAAACATTTCAGAACAATTCTGTATATCTTATTACCATTCAGGTCTATTTAACACAGGTATGGCATTTAGCTTTAATTAGGTGCTGGTCTGAGGCAAACTTTATACTCCGATAAACAATTTTTGATACTAGTATATGAATTCAGTTGGATTAGTCGTTTGCTGATCTTATCGCCTTGCGAACTACCAGCGAGTCATTTGGAGGAAGGGTTTCATTGTAGTAGCAAGTGGCTTCTTCATTGATCAACATACGGGAGGTCCGCTAAATGTTATCCAGAGCAATTACGGTAAAGCGTCTCGCTCGGGGACACACCTAAGTCAGGACTGATCGATCCGTGTCCCAGGTTTCTGGGAACTGCAAATCACCAGAGTAATTCTTAAAGTGTTTTGAAAGCTTTCAAAATACAAAACAATTAAAGTGGTCCTTGCAATGTATTTATCTTTTTTAATCGAAAATGAAAAAGTTAATTTCATCACCGGTTGATAAAACATAATGAGGAACTATCATATGAAATCTTTCTGATATGATCACCAAAGCCTAAAATACCAAATGTTGTTCAATCACTTTAATTAAACTTTCTTTTCTATATTTGTCAAATCATAATAAAATTGTAAAGCATCTGTATAGCCACGCCCCTTGAGGTTTCCAGCATTGGGTACGCGCCCAATTTCAGTGAAACCCATACTTCGCCACAATTTCACAGACACTTCGTTTGATACAAACACCAGATTGAAGAATGAAGCCTGGTAACCAAGATCACGCGAAATTTGAAGATAATGTCCAACCATGAACTTCCCGACACCTAATCCTCGAGCTGATTTCAACACCGCAAACCCTGCATTACATATATGTGAACATCGGCCGGGGAAATTAGGTTTTACGTAAAAGCTTCCTAGTACTTCGGCGGTATTGACGTCACGACAAACAAACACGTCATGTGACAAGTAATACGACCGGAAGTCGTCAACATTAGCAAGGTCTTCCTGTGGGTAGCTATTGCCTTCCTCGTTAACGATATACTTCATTATAGCATGGACTTGTGCCTCGTCTTCGTCCTTGTAATAATCTAGGATGACCTTGCGTCCATCTTTGAGCTGTCCTTTAAGTGGCAGGTACGGCAAAACGACATCAGATTTTTTCTTCTTGATCACGTACGCCATCTTAACTGGTCAGACTGAACTGTAATATGAACAGAATAAAATAGAACTTACACATAATAAATAAATCTCCTGAAACAAAAACTTCTATAGTGAATCCTTCATTCTATACCGACAGTGCAAACCATAAGATATTTTCTTATTTCGTAATATCCCACGTTTGAATTTCGAGTTGGGCGTTTGCCTTAGCCAGATAGGGTAATGATGTCAGTTCTTTCTGTCGTATCCGCCTCGATCTTTCGGGCGCGTGATACAGGTAATAACGTAAAAATAATCAGTTTGATGTCCAAATAATTCAACGTCAAACCGTGTACAAATTAAGGTATTTCAATATTTCTAGCATTCAATGACAGTTGAAATGAACATCATTTCATTAAAGACGTATTTAACCACCCAGACAACTGTCGGTACCTAATTTTGGAGGAGTTATTTCCCTTCTATGAAACAATCACGTGAAAGCACCGTGAGATTTCTGGGGTAAACTACTTGAATAGTGTAGCAGTGGATAGCGTGTCTGAAAGAAGGAAAATTAAATCTTTTAAACTTTTTTTTTTCAACTTCAACCAAACTTTCTCATAATGAACAAGTCCTCCAATGCAGCCAGACTAGAGACGTATGTTGTATACATCTAGTCAGACAGTTAAGTCTAAAATACATACATGCAAGTAGAAGAAAAACTTTATCACATGTTCGTCAATTTCTTGTCTCCCTAAATGCTTTGTTAATGACGAAACATCAGTTTAAATATCCATTTACAAAAAGGACCATTTTTCTGCTAAAATCTGGTATATGTGAGGACAAGATTGAGTTGGGATTGTTGAACAACAGTAACCAGTAAGGTTTGATAATTTTCTGTTTGTTTGACTGCCAATCATACACATACGTCTACACGTGCTTATAAAATCATCTCTATTTCAAGAATTCCTGATCGCGATAACTACTACACACAGGTGTCAGGACGTTCTCGCAAACCCCCATTAGCGGCGATAAGTAGCAGAGTATCGCGGCACCCACTCTAATATGTTAATGTACCCATGGATGATGAACTCAGTCAGGGACACCGAAATATCATAACCCGAACACGATCCATATCGTGTCGTCACCCCACGAAGTTACATGATAATGTTTATGTAATAGAGACGAATACTATTGTAACCCTGGTAAAATACTAGCTGCAATATACCACTCGGCTAGAGAGAACTTCTCTTCAGCTCGATTGGTCGAGCGTTAGACTAGTAAGCCAGGGGTCCCGGGTTCGATTTCTAGCGGAGGCATCGAGATAAAAAAAAAAAGACCTCTGTTAGTTGGGCGCCCATGTAGGGACCCGGGAATAGTACTTAGTCGTGTCCCACAAGCATCGCTGTAACCCCTGGAAACTCGAGGACGAGTTATTTCCTTGAGAGGGAGTATGTAAGACATACAAGAGAAGGGGAGGTGTTATTGAAATAAATACATATGTAATAAGATACGATGATGGTGGACGTCACGATGACATTCTATTATAGGGAAAACGTTTTCGCTCTGCTTAACATCAGGTACTCGTTATTCTGGAAAAAAACTCTTCAGAAAATTGTGTTTGCCACAACATTGTAAATCCTAAGTGGAACCAACGTTTAATGGGAGGTAACCCATACAAAAAACCGCACAATTGATCGATTGATTTCTTGTTCCATAGTTTAGTGTCATTGTCACCTAAACTGTGCAGTGACGCCATCGCCTTTCTAGCCTTGCAGTACTGTATGATATATATATATATTATATTGTTTCCACGTGATGCCACCCAGACATAGATCCCCACCAGGCTACACGTGGCCTGGCGTTCTTTTTCCTCTACGGGGCCTTTCATAATGCCTCGTCCGCCATTGAAGTGGGCATTTGTGCATATCATACTAGTTGAAGTAACCAAGTGTGCTGGTCTTACCTTAGATGGCAGTATGTTTTCTACTGACCGACAGAAATCGCTGGAAGTCAATTCTGTACACTGTGCTCAAATCGCAAATGACGATATCTAACGGGGTCAAGGCACGACGACTTATCAAATACGGGGCCCCAATTGGGGAAATGCATAAAATTGGACTTTGAATTAAAGCCAAATTAAGATTTAAATTCAGTTTTGATGTTCAAATAATGTCATTAGAGTAAATTATGATACTAATTCATGTAAGAGGGGAAGGGGCGGGGGCGGGGGGGGGGGGGTAACACACATGCAAAATGTATTCAATAAATAAATCTTTAAAAGAATCACATAATCAATGATGCAAGACAGTATTGGAGTATAATGTGTATATACCACATACATGCGTGTACTCTAGAAAAAAAAGTACGAGGTTGATTTTATAATCTTATTATATATGTATGATGTAATGTTTCTGTACCACGTGCTATGTGTGTTCTCTATATATATTTAACTAAAGAGCCGATTTCGTAGTCTCATTATAATAAAGTGAATCTTTACAGAGATTGATTTAAAATGTTGAATTTGGAATGTTTTTGGAAAAATGGCTATGATAATATTGATAAATGGCAAGCATACACAAGAATAGCGCGGGGCGGAACAACATACGGTCGTCTCATTACTTAGAAGTATCCGGGATCTATTGTATCGAAAAGAATACAAAAATGGAGACGGTAATATTCAAAATATCAAGAGGAATAACGGTGCTGTACAGGATGGATGGAAAAACCGTAGAAATATCTGGACAAGATTAAAATCCTTGAAAAAAATTGTTATTCAACATAACACAATCTCTCGTTATGGTTTTCAAGTCTGAAAATTATTAAAGAAATATGTTAAAAACTGAGGGAAGAAATTTCTGAATAAGATCAAACGATGAAAAATAAATTGATAGATAGATAAATCCAAAATTCTAAAATTACAATGTAGTAATGAAAACATAATATTACGTTATTAAGCCTATCAAATTCAAAGAAATTGTCGTAAAACTGTTAAAAAGCTAGAACAACAAAGGGAATTAACTCCTTCAAAAATTGTTGAATCAAACTGCTGTGAAGACAATTTTATTGCCATTTTACAAAACTGAACATTTCTAAATACCATTTGTGTCTGCAGGCAGACTTCACGTATATTTAGGTGATAACAGACTAAGGAGATAACGGATACGAAAAATTCTAAAAACCCATACATGGTTAAAATAGGTCTTAGATTATAGTCTACTCTTAAATGTTTCTATCTCTTCATGGCTTTTAAACTGAAAGAAATCAAAAATAAAAAAAAATAGTAAAAAAAAAAAAAAAAACACATATACATAGCAAATTCAGGTGTCGAAAAAACGTAACTGGAATTGCATTAAACACGCAAAGTCAGTAAAACATACCTTGATATCCGTTTAATGTTTTATATGACTAAGAGAAAACATTGGGTGTTTTTTTGGTATAGTAAATCATAGACTTAAATCATAGTTATAACGTCCATAAAAATATGTTAGCGGGAGCGTTGTCATCAGCTCCTGTTTACAACGATGAACTTTTCTTTGGTCTATTTTTTATGGATGGGGATATAGCGAGCAATTTATTCCAACATTAATGGAATTGTTTGGCTATATGATGGCGTAATTTGATCCCCATCTTTGTAGTCCTGGGTATATTTTTTAGGATCTCTCTGATTGGATAACATTAACTACAGTTGATTAGTGCACTGTTAATGAACAGGAAATTGTAATTGTCATATTTTCTGTCGTCATTTGTTATTGTTAATAAATAAAATATTTCAATTTCAATCTGAGTCTGGATTTGTGTATTTAGAATAAGTATAACCCAAGTTACAAACAGAGCACATCCTTTGTTCGGTGCAGCCCAAAAGGATGTTGCAGGACAAGTTTGATTAATTTCCGCTTTTCGGTGATAACTAGTAGTGAGTTTCAGTTGACGGTGAGATGATGGAATACCCAAGAAAGTTATATCTAACTCTTGTTCAATCCAATGTTTGATTCGCAACTACCATGCCATTAGTATACCAATAACACATACTGTCGATTTTACGTTAGAAACAAATAATTATCAACACTGTTGAGGGGAATTAAAATTATGTGCATGTGTTGAACACATGCAAAAAATATAACTTATATTACACTATCCTTTGTACAGAAATTCTATAATATTAAATATAACAAGAATGCTGCTTTCCATGTGTTGAAAACCGAAATGACGGGGACACCAAACTTGCTGTTACACGTATTACCAAAGTCCCCATATAAACTTCAACCCACGAAAGTTTATTAATTTTACACTCTGCATACGGTTCTAGGTTAGGCGAAAAACATAGGTATTAGTTGCTCTTTACACAAAGTTTATATCAGCTAATTTTCAATTTTTTCAATTTTTAAAATCTGAAAAATATACATCTATTTTATAGTAATTGAGTAATACGACGGCAGTGCTGCTTTTGGTCAGAAACCTTAATAACACATAGGTCTCTCTTTTTTGTCGTATTCTTTTACTTCAAAAGACCAAAACTAAGTACCTTGTCGTAATACCGAATCCCCGTTCATTACAGACGGAGATGTGTAGAGAAATATTGGCAAAATGTTGATAAACGGTTTGCTGTATCGTAGGGTGTTGACCATGGGCCCTCTTATTGCTGAACGAAATACTAATCCTATATTCTAAGGCATGTTTAAAATTCAGGTCAATGTTTGTATTAAACGGTCGTTTACCGTGCAATCAGAGTAACCTCCCTTCGTACAGGTAAAACTGAATACCGGTTTACAACCCTACTGCCGTCTCACCTGTGGCTTTTGTGTTTGTGTTCCCGAATGTGACACGGTGACTTCCTATACACACGCACTCGACGCCGGTTACTCATTCTCCGTGCATTGTTAACTGCCAAAGCATCGTGTGTGTAAAAAAGCAGTTCAAAATGGCCACGATATTTTGGATTTTAAGCGTTTTATTAACATTTTGTATCACCGGAACTACAGGTAAGTTCTATTTATAAAAGTGACCAGGTACACTCAATATGTCAATTTGTACTTTACGGTACGATATAATGTTAAAAACACACTAAATCAACATACATGAAGTATTGTAAATTGACAAGTTGATAACTAATTCAATACATACAAAATATATGTAAGCCTGCAGATTTTGTTACTGTGTCTATTTGTGTGATGTATTCACAGGTGTGACTTTATAGATACAAATTAACCGCCAATCATGGAATCAAAAATTTAGGTCAGTTTCAGAATTACATGTATATATATACGACAGTTAACTTACGAAATTTGAATTTAATTCTGTGTATAAATAAACGTGCGGTGCTTTGATATGCAAAGTTATACATCATCATCTTTATTTGGAAATAAATGGAAGATAAGTGTTTACACTCAACTTCCATATTACCTACCTAGATCAAAATTAACATACATTTTAGGTCAATAGCAGATATACATGTATAGTCGGTCGATCTGTGCGAAAAGCTGTGATATCTTATATAAGACTGTAGACTGACTTCCATTCACTGTATATGTTATCTAACCATATATATCTTAATCTGTCATCAGACTAAACTGATCACTGGCATTTTGCAGTTTTTATTTATGTTTAAATTTAGCACGAAATCTGTTGAGCCAAATATGTGTAAAGCTTAGTAAATGTCCACTGAAAGCCCTGGAAAATTTTATACGTAGACAAGTGTTATATCTCAATATGTTACACAGATATAGCTACAGGGCACGATAGCCATAGGATGGTATCACATGTATTTTTACATAATTATACCTGACCCAGCCTATAGCTATATAACTTAACTACTTATTGTCTAAACAATGCGATTATTTGCATGGATCTGACTCACACGTCAGATATGGTATAATGGGTTATTTATAACACGCTGAAAGTTGGTGTCAAAATATATCGAGTATTTCTGGATGAACTTTACCTCGGGTGATATTACAACCAGTAGGACACATATTATTTACAAAGCTAAAGCAAGTGGTGTGGGCGTTACTGACCTAGGTAATTATATACGTTACACGGAGTGTAAACGAGGTAATATATTCCATTCAGAAATTACAAATACGTGTGGAATGTTGAAAGATGAACACGGAACGATCCAGATTAAGCAATTAATGCTGTAATTATACCTAAACTTTGTACTGTTATTATACCTAAACTTTGTACTGTTATTATACCTACCCTAAACTTTGTACTGTTATTATACCTAAACTTTGTACTGTTATTATACCTAAACTTTGTACTGTTATTATACCTAAACTTTGTACTGTTATTATACCTACCCTAAACTTTGTACTGTTATTATACCTAAACTTTGTACTGTTATTATACCTACCCTAAACTTTGTACTGTTATTATACCTAAACTTTGTACTGTTATTATACCTACCCTAAACTTTGTACTGTTATTATACCTACCCTAAACTTTGTACTGTTATTATACCTACCCTAAACTTTATACTGTTATTATACTTTTGTACTGTTATTATACCTAAACTTTGTTATTATACCTAAACTTTGTACTGTTATTATACCTAAACTTTGTACTGTTATTATACCTACCCTAAACTTTGTACTATTATACTTTTGTACTGTTATTATACCTAAACTTTATACTGTTATTATACCTAAACTTTATACTGTTATTATACCTAAACTTTATACTGTTATTATACCTAAACTTTGTACTTTGTACTGTTATTATACCTACCCTAAACTTTGTACTGTTATTATACCTAAACTTTGTACTGTTATTATACCTAAACTTTGTACTGTTATTATACCTAAACTTTGTACTGTTATTATACCTACCCTAAACTTTGTACTGTTATTATACCTAAACTTTGTACTGTTATTATACCTACTTTGTACTGTTATTATACCTAAACTTTGTACTGTTATTATACCTAAACTTTATACTGTTATTATACCTTTTATACTGTTATTATACCTAAACTTTATACTGTTATTATACCTAAACTTTATACTGTTATTATACCTAAACTTTGTACTGTTATTATACCTAA